ATTAAATTACCAGCAGCATTCTTCTCAGACCTGGAAACGATAATACAGGAATTCATATGGAAATATAAATGACCACGAATAGCCAAAACAATCCTTGGCACAAAAACAAACAAACAAACAAAAAAAACCTCACCAAAAACCAAACAAACAACAACAAAAAAACAAAGTAGGAGGTATCACACTCTCAGACCTTACACTTTACTATAAAGCTACAATAATCAAAACAGCCTGGTATTGTACAAGAGCAGGCATACAGACCAATGGAACAGGACAGAGATTCCAGAAGCAAAATCTCAATTTCTCAACCAACTCATCTTCAAAAAAGCTTCCACCACTAACCACTGGGGAGAGGAGAAACTATTCAGTAAATGATGCTGGGAAAACTGGCTGACCACATGCAGAAGATTAAAACAAGACCCCTACCTATCACCATACACAAAAAGACCTAAACGTAAAACCTCAAACTATAAGAACCTTAGAAGATGCAGGAGACAGCCTTATGGAAATTGGAACTGGCGACCAATTCCTGATCAAAACCCCAAGTGCCCATGCCATAAGAGATTAGACAGACAAATGGGACCTCATCGAACTGACAAGCTTCTGCAAAGCCAAAGAAACCAAGACAGTTGGAAGATAGCCCACAGACTGGGAAAAAATATTTGTTAACTGTATATCTGACAAAGGCCTACATAACATCTAGGATCTAAAAGGAACTCAAACGTGCTGAAAACAAAAAAAGAGCCCACTACAAAGTGGGCAAAAGATACTTTTCAAAAGAAGACACACAAGCAGCCAACAGATACATGAAAATGTATCTCACTAGTCACCAAAGAAAAGCAAATTAGAACCATAATGAGATACCACCTAAAGTCAGTCAGGATGGCTACCATAAATAACTCAAAAACCAACTGATGCTGGAGGGAATGGGGTGGGGGTGGGGGAAGAACCCTTCTACACTGTTAGGGGGAGTGTAAACTAGTACAACCTCTGTGGGAAACAGTGTGGAGATTCCTAAAAGATAAAAAAATCGACCTTCCATATGACCCCACAATTTCCCTACTGGAAATATACCCGGAGAAACTCAAATCACTTTATGAAAAAGATACCTGCACATGTATGTTTATTGCAGCATTGTTCACAATAGCAAAAACATGGAACCAACTGTGCTGCCCATCAAAAGATTGGATAAAAAAATGTGGTACATATACACAATAAAATATTACACAGCCATAAGGAAGGCCAAAATTATGAACTTGGCAGCAACTTGGATGGATTTAGAGGCTAAAATACTGAGTGCTCTATTACAGAAACAAAGATGAGTATCACATGTTCTCAACTCATTAGTGGACCTTGAACAATTATCGTAATACTAAAAGAAAAGGATTGGCAGTAGTGGGAAACTACCGTGGATGGGGAGGCACACCTCATCAAGGGTACCTGCATAATGAACATTTGTATACGTAACCCTGAATTGTACCCCACATCTTTAAAATCAAAAAAAATTTTTAAATGTCAGAAATTTGCTTCAACACAGATAGTATAGTAGTAGAAGTAGCAGTAGTATAAGAAAATACTTCAAAACAGACAGTATAGTAGTAGTGATACAGTCATCTCTTGATATACATGGGTATTGATTCCAGGACCATCTGAGTTTACCCAAATCTGTGCATACTATAAAGTCCTGAAGTCAGTCTTGCAGATCCCGTGTATTTTGTCAACCTCTATGTATGTTTTGCATCCCGAAAATTCTCTTCATTCCTTCTTTTTTTTTTAATTTGGGTCTGGGTCTCATTTTATTGCCCAGTTTGGAGTGCAGTAGCACTATCACAGCTCACTGCAGCCTCAAACCCCTGGGCTCAAGTGATCCTCTTGCCTCAGCCTCCCAAGTAGCTGGGACTACAAGCCCAGGCCACCATGCCCCATTAATTTTTAAAATTTTTTGTAGAGATGAGGTTTCACTATGTTGTCCAGGTTGGTCTTGAACTCCTGGCCTATAGCAATCTTCCTGCCTTGGCCTCCCACAGTGCACAGTTCAAACCCTTGTTGTTCAAGGGTCAACTGTAGGAGTAGTAGTGTTGGTGATGGTGACAGCACAGTGCTTCTCAACTGTGGCTGTAGATTAGGAACACCTGGAGATCATGTAAAACTCCCAAAGGCCAATCTGTACTCCAAGTCACATCCCAATATGGATTAGCTAGCATTTAATTAGAAAAAGCCTAACTGGAGATAGCTGCTGTAAGGTTTTTGTCATATTAATCTTTGATCGAGACCAAAAGTTTTCCCAATTATCATACTGAATGAAGTGAGTGTTCACTGATGAAAGAAGTGGCTTATTAAACAGCAAAATGGGCCAGGCATGGTGGCTCATGTAGATAATCCCAGCACTTAGGGAGGACGAAGCAGGAGAAGTACCTGAAGCAAGGAGTTCCAGAACAGCCTGGGCAACATAGCAAGACCATGTCTTTACAAAAAATATAACAATTAGCAGGCATGGTGATGCATGTCTGTAGTTTTCAGCTATTCGGACGCCTGAGGCATATAAGGATGGCTTCAGCCCAGGAGTTTGAGGCTGCAACGAGCTATGACCATGCCGTGGAACTTTAACATGGGTAACAGAGTGAGACCCTGTCTCTAAAAATTTTTTGTGAAATTCATAGTATTCCAGTTACATGGACTGGCTAAATTAGAGACAAAATCTACCCTTGCAAAATGGTAAGAGAAAACTCTGAAGTCTGGAAATTCTAGATAAACAAAATCTTGTCTCTAGAATACTGTTTTATTTGCTTATGGTGATCATTTTATACAAAAACAGAGAGCTGAAGCTTCAACAAATCTAAAGGAGACTACATAGAATATTTTATGCATGCTGGCTCATTGTCTTTTAAATGTATGTTTGTATCAGAATCTGCATACATACCAAAGCAACTATTAAAACACCTAGCAAAAGACCAAAGAGTCAGCCATGTGCAAATTGGCTTTGGCAAATTTATAACAACAGGTTGACAAGCATAGCATACACAACAGAGGAGAATGCTTGGACTTCAAGTGTTCTAAGGCTCATCATATGGTTCAGAATGAGAATAAAAGATATTTATTGACTTAGGAAGTTTGTAAGTTGAATATGTATATTAAAATGTCTAGAATAACCACTAAAGGAAGAGAAACAGAATAACTACCAAGTTTGTTAAGAGGAAAAAATGAAATGAGAAAATATAACCCAAAAGAAGACATGAAATGAATAGTTTTAGCTGGGCTCGGTGGTTCAGCCCGTAATCCCGTGCCTCTGGGAGGCTGAGGTGAGTGGATTGCCTGAGCCCGCGGGTTCGAGACTCGCCAGGGCAGGTGAGACCTCATCTCTACAATAAATCAAAAAATTAGCCGGGTGTGGTAGCACGCGCCTGTAATTCCGGCTACTCGGAAGGCTGAGGCGGAAGGATCGCCGGAGCCCAGCAGGTCGAGGCTGCGGTGGCCGGGAGCGGCCACTGCACTCCAGTCTGGGCGACAGAGTGAGACTCCGACTCAAAAAAAAAAAAAAAACCATATTTAAAATTGACGTTCCTTTGGTAAGAACGATGAGGAACAAAAAGAAGGCAACAGTACACAATATTGTGAATAAACAAGAGGGTATACCTACATATGCTGTAGACATTAAAAGATCATAACAGATTATGAAAATTTGACAAAAACATATGAAATACAAAATTTCCTAGAAAAACATAGGAAATTTAAAATTTATAATCAGTACTATGAAATCACCTCTCAAAAAGAATTACAAAATCCAGGTAAGTTTTACTAGTAAGAAATGATCCTTGGCTGGGTGCGGTGGCCAAGCCTGTAATCCCAGCACTTGGGGAAGCCGAGGTGTGAGAACTGCCTGAACCCAGGGGTTCGGGACCAGCCTGGACAACTTGGTGATACCTCGTCTCTACAATAAATAAAAGATTAGCCAGGTGTGGTAGTGTGCACCTGTAGTTCCGGTTACTTGGAAGGCTGAGGCAGAAGGATCAACTGCGCCCAGCAAGTCGATGCTGGGGTGGCCGTGAGCATGCCACTGCACTCTAGCCTGGGCGACAGAGTGACTGACTCAAAAAAAAAAGAGAGAGAGAGAGAGAAATGATCCTTATTCACAATACATACACCAACAAATAATTAGTCTTCAAAATATATTTTAAAAACTACAAACAAAACAAGTGGCAATCTTAAGTAGGCATGTCACAGAACAGGAAACCTAAATGATCAATAAATACGACTCACCTCAATAGTAAATAGGGAAATTCACGTTAAAATCACAATCAAATTATTCAAACCAAAACCAAAATAATGGCAAAAGTAAGAATACCAAGCACTGATAAGAATAAGAAACAATTAAACGCTGTCATATACCACTACTGAAAATGAAACTTACATAACTACTAAACAACAATCTGGCATTATCTGCAAAGACGTGTATGTATAACCTGTGTTTTTATAAGCACTTTATATACCAGTAAATAACTCCACATCCATCCAAATAAGATAAATTGTAGTATATTCATAAGATAGAAAACTCTAGAGCAGTGAAATTAAATAACAATTCTTACAAACATAATATTGAATAAAAATGCAAGTTGAAGATTGCATACAGTTGTAACTACAGAGCAATTCTGTTTATACAAAGTTCAAAATATGCAAAATAAATATACTGGTTTAGAGATCTAAATACGATATCTTTATAAGAAAGAGAAAATACCAAATTCAGGATTGTGGTTACTTCTGAGGGAAGAGATAATAGGATCAGAAAAGTCACATATTAGACTTCAAAGATAATGTTAATGCCCTTTTTCTTTACTAATATTTAAAACAAGTGTCTAAGTACCATGTAATTCCCCGTAATTATGAGATGAAAATCAGTGGGGGGAAGGAGCAAACAACCCACTTGAAAGAATAGTTCTCTCTGAGCATGAACTATACTTATAACAAAAGATAAGATTCATAGCAATAACAATTAGTTATTCTCCTACCTTTATTGGTGAAATATGAGACTGGGAAACAAATCCACGGACATTCTCAATCTCTGACAGGTTCTTCTCTGAGACATGAACCAGTTCCGGACCTATCACCTCATCAGTGATTTGTGGGGAGGAAATGTGCTCTTGAGGAGGTGTATCTTCATCCTGATATCGGTATTTCTGTAAAGTAAAGAAAATAAACATGATGAAGCCCTGAAAAGCAAAGTGAGTTTAATTCAAATCATGGTTTTCACAGTTAGCCAAATACTAAATATTTAACAATATGAAAAGTGTATTTTATGACTTAATACAACGAATCTGTGAAATAGGACTCCATTTTATAAATCATGTCAATAACTTAAAATTATTTAATTTGATTATTAAAAATAAGTCAAGGCCGGGCTCAGTGGCTCAGCCTGTAATCCCAGCACTTTGGGAGGCTGAGACTCAGTGGATTGCCGGAGCCCGTGGGTTCGAGACCAGCCCAGGCAACTTGGTGAGACCTCGTCTCCACAATAAACCAAAAATTAGCTGGGCATGCCTGTAGTTCTGGCTACTTGGAAGGCTGAGGTGGAAAGACTGCTGGAGCCCAGCAGGTCGAAGCTGCGGTGGCCGGGAGCACGCCACTGCACTCTAGTCTGGGCGACAGAGAGTGAGACTCCAACTCAAAAAAAAAAAAAAAAGTCAAAGCTAGATGATAAAGAAGCCTGAATATTGATTGCCCCTTTCTTACCCAATGTTAGCTGACTATGTAGTTCTAAGATACAGTTGTCTAAATGAAGTTACCATGAAAAACCAAAGTTATTTCACTAAATTAGTCTGGTTTTCTTATTCGGTTAACTTGTACAAAAATGAAAAAAAGTCAGCCATTTCCAAAAAGTCAGTAATTTCATATACTGGAAATTATTCCAGTATATAATAGCATTTTTTCTTTTACCTACAAAATGATTTCACACACACCTCTATTCAATACATTTCTAAAAGACTAACATACTCTTAAAACATCACAGCTACCTCACACCATATATAAAAATTAAGTAAATTGTGGTTATAGGAAATGGGAGAAAATATAGTGCCATAGTCTTTAACTCAGGCCAGCAAAGCGTATGCAACAAATCCAACCAAAATAAGATAAAATAAAACATTCTCTTTCCCATTGCCCAATCATAAAGAAAATGAACATACAAGGCATAATAGAAAAAAAATGTTCAATAATAAATAAAGGATTATATGCCACTATAAGCTATTCTTATACATGATTTTTAAAAGTCAGCAAACAGAAAGAAGTATTTTAGAAAGCATACAGATGGATCCATAAACTTAAAAGAAAAAAACCTCAACTTCTTTAGTCAGCAAAAAATACAACTGAAGCATTCAGAGAAATGGGCATAGATCATCACATTTGTGGGAGAGGTCTTTTTCTAGAGGGCAATCTGGCAGTATATTTCAAAAGCCCTGAAAATGTTTCCACATCCTGACCCTGTAATTCCACTTCTAGGAATTAATCTTAGAGACACCATCAAAGAGGAGCACAAATATTTGTTGTCTGTATAGAAAAAAAATGTGTATTTGTAAATTAAAAAAAAAAAAAAATGGAGTTGACTGCTGAAAGTTACTCCTGTATCACCTTTGAAACAACATCTTTCTGTGAGATGGTACAATTACAAGGAAAACAATCTGGCTTACAGCAACATTAGCTAGTTTATTTAACATAAGAATAATGTTTTTACAAGTAACCTCAATTATTTTCAAAACCAATAAAAAGGGCCAGGCATGCCTGTCATCCCAGCACTTTGGGAGGTCAAGGAGGGAAGAATGCTTGAGTCCAGTAGTTTGAGACCACCATAGGCAACATAACAAGACTCCACCTCTACAAAGAAAATTTAGGGAAAAAAAAAGAAAATAATTTTCTAACTTTATTTATATAACCTAACACAGTTTATTTATTCAGTTGAGTGGATGCAAAAATCTATGTAATCTTAGTTGTAGACGTGATAAAGAAGGAAATTTGGTACCATCTTTTGAAACTCCATAGTTACAACTTAGTACGTACTTTAGGGAAAGTTACATGTACAAAGATATTCATTACAGTGCAGACTGAAATAAAGAAAAACTAGAAACAGACTGCCTATCAATTGACTAAAATATGGCTAAATTAACTGTAGTACTCCATCCTAGGGAGTATCATGTAGAAATTAAATTGAAGAAAAATCTACTTCTTCTAATAGGAAAAGCTGAAGATACAGATTATTGAATGAGACAAGCATGTTTTAAAACTACAGTATATATATACATATTTTATAAGTAAAAACGATAATATAGTTTGATATTACATAAGAATATTAAAAACTGAATTAAAATATAAATAGAGGGCCAGATGCAGTGGCTCATGCCTATAATCCCAAAACTTTGGGAGGCTGAGGTGAGAGGACTGCCTGAGCCCATAGGCTCGAGACCAGCCTGGGCAACTTGGCGCAACTTCATCTCTATACTACATCAAAAAATTAGCTGGGCATGGTGTCACATGCCTGCAGTTCCAGCTACTTGGAAGGCTGAAGCAGAAGGATTGTTTGAGACCAGCAGGTCAAGGCTATGGTGGCCGGTATGCAACTGCACTCCAGCCTGGGTGACAGAGTGAGACTCCGACTCAAAAAACCCCCCAAAATAAAACAAAAAAACCACATAAATACATACACAGTTTGAACATTTTTAGGGAAAGCAAGTGTATGTGTGTATAAACATTATATTTGTATGTGTATGTATAAATATACACATATTCATATGTAAGTACACACACACATACACATATCCAAGAATGTAATACATAATGGGGGGGGATCAGAAAGGAATTAAAACAAAAAATGGTTCCTTCTGAAAAGGAAGAAATCACTAAAAAAAGTATGTTTTTAAATTTATATTTTAATCTGTCATTTTCTTTTGATCCCTTTTTATTCCTTATGATTAACGAAAAACTCAAGGCATTTGACCTACAGGGGTTCCCAGTAAAATCACTACATGCTCATGGGTTCTTCAACATGGTCCTTCGTATTTTTCTGCAAATCAGCAGCTGGATGCAACAACTTGATTAGTCTTATATTCAATTCTTTTGGTGAGACTATAAGTGGTGTCATCAGGAAGCATACAATGTCTCGTCTTTTTATGATGTTAGCGGCTTTTAATACTCAATGACTGAATCAATTCATTTACTTGAAGTTGCAAAATTGTGACAATCTAATTCTATATTTCTTTTTCATTAATGTGGTGGAACACACATATACAGAGATACTTCTCTTCACCCTCCACTTGGTTACCTGCTGGTAGAGTTCACACAGGAAAAATACTTGAATGCATGCCTTTTATCTATTAGTTTTCGAGACATTTAAAAGTTGGTTCCTTATCATCCTCCTAAGGCGATCAATTATGTACCTGTGTAGCATTGAAAACAATCTCTTTCAAAGTCCTACCTGGTGATTTCCTCCATGTGCACCCCCCCTGGAATTGACAAGCTTATACTAATATTCATATGGAAATGCAGGGGACCCAGAAAAGCCAAAATAATCTTGAAAAAGAAAAAATGGAGGACTCGCACTTCTTCATTTTAAAACTTACTACAAAGTCACATAAAGACTGAGGTGTTGGAATAAATATATAGACATATAGATCGATGAAACAGAATTCAGATTCCAGATATAGACCCTTACATCTGTGTCAGTTATATTTGATATATGTGCCAAGACAATTTGATGGAGAAAGAACAGTCTTTTCAACAAATGATGTTGGAACTACTGGATGCAAAAGAACGAAATTAGACACTTTCCTTACACTGTGTAAAAAGATTAACTCAATATGAATCAAGACGTAAATATAAGAGCAAAAGTTATAAGATTCTTAGAAGAAGAAAACACAAGTATTAGGATCAGGCAATGGTTTCTTAAATATGACATCTAAACATCAACACCAAAAGAAAAACAGATACACTGGACTTGATCAAAACAAAAAAACTTTTGTTCATCAAAAACCACTAACAACAAAATAAAAAAAAAAAAACCAAAGAATGAGAGAAAATACTGACAAATAATATATTTGATAATGACCTAGTATCCAGAATAGATAAGGAAATCTTAAAACTCTAATAAAAAGACAATCCAATTTTTAAATGGGCAAAGGATTTAAACAGAGATTTTCCAAAGATATTACAAATGGCCAATAAGCACACGAAAAGATGTTTAGCATCATTAGCCATTACAGAAATGCACATCAAAAATATAAGATACAGTCTGGTGCGGCACTTTGGGAGGCCTAGTTGGGCAGTCTGCTTGAGCCCAGGAGTTCAAGACCAGCCTGAGCAACATAGCGAGACCTCACCTCTACAAAAAAGCAAACCAAAAAAAAAAAAAAATTATCTGAGCATGGTGCTGCTACTTGGGATGCTGAGATGGAAGGATGGCCTGGGCCCAGGATGTCAAGGCTGCCATGAACTGTGATCATTATGATCATGCCACTGTACTCCAGCTTGGTCAACAGAATGAACCTCACTCAAAAACAACAATAACAAAACAAACAGCAGCAGCAAAAAATCCCACAAGAGGCTACTTCACACCCAATATGATGGCTATAATTTAAAAAGAAAAAGACTGACACTATGTGTTGTTGAGAACATCGAAAAATAGAAACACTCAAACTCTGCTGATGGGAATGTAAAATAGTGCATTCATTCTGGAAAACAGTTTAACAGTTCCTCAAAAGATTACATGGAATTAATAAATGACCCAGCAATTCCTCTCAAAGAAACTGAAAACATTCATTCACATAAAAACTTATGCATAAACGTTCACAGCAGCAGTATTCACAATAGCCTCCAAGCAGAAACCACCCAAATGTCCATCCATTTATGAATAAGTAAAATGCGTGGTATTATTCATGCAATGCATTATTATCCAACCATAAGAAAAAAATGAAGTATTGATACATATTACAAAATAGAACCTTGTGAAAATATGATGCTAAGTGAAAGAAGTCAGACACAGAAGTCTACAAATTACATAATTCCATTTATATGAAATGTTCACAATAGGCAATCCCTAAAGTCAGAAGGTAAATCAGTGGTTATCAAGGACTGGGGAGAGAAAGAAATGGGTATTAACAACTAGTGGATATGGAATTTATTTCCAAAGTGATGA